CACTTGATAAGCCCGGCGACAAAATCCAGCTAAGAACAACAGTAGGGCTTCTTTTTAGGGCACCGCGCAGGCCTGGGGGTGGGGTGGGATCTTGTTGCATGCGCGCCCCGGGGGGCGAGGCGCAGCAGCGCGCTAGGGCCCCACGACGGCCCTACAATCTGTCACGAGGCGGCGGGGCGCAGCGGGGCACGTCACAGCGCACCGTTGTACAGCGTGTGGTCCTACAGGGGGAGCGACAGGGCGGCGGGTAGAGTAAGTGAGCACTGGGAGACGCGATTGACATCGTAAACATTCCGACTTATTGCATAGTACTGCTGCGCCTCACGGGCGAATTGCATCCCAGTTCGTGAATGTGTGGCTGTGCCTGAGGGGATGCGCCGCAGCAGCCCTCCCCCCCCCCTTCCGCGCACACACACACACACATGCCCGGTTGGTTACCGAGAATGCCCTACCGGCCTGCTGATCCTGCTCTGGGCATCTATCCCTCAAAGGGGATGCGTAGCGGACGCGGCTGGAGCACAGAGCTGAGCGGTTGGGCTGCTCCAGGCATTACTCTGCACCGGCCTTGAGCCCAGCCCCCTGCCCCTGCCTACCATACCTAGGTCTGTTTACGTTGACCTGTATTTCTGTCATTAATGACGAGACTGCGGACGGCCTCGGGGCTCTGAGGTCCTCTCCGTTTTGACGTAAACTCAAAGCGCATTCTCTTCCCCCGTTTTCTCACCCCCCCTCTCTCTATCCCATGCACACACACACACAAACACACTCGCATACTCACACACTCACTCCGACTACGTCTCGCCGCACTACTCTGCTTGCCCCGCTCCGGCCAATATGACACTAAATAATTGCGGGCGCCCTTTGTGACGTCACGCCGCTCCGGCAGGAGGACCGGCCTGGGCTGAGCGGGGGGCGTGCGGGGCTCGGGGGTGGGCGGCAGAGAGGCGCCTGACTTCCGGCGGCTCCTCAGCCGGCTCAGCCCGGCTCAGCCAGCCAAGCATCCCCGTCCTTGCGCCTCCTTGCGGGGGCGGGTCTGGCCGAGGCCCGGTCGGGTCCAACCCCTTCCGGGCCGACGCTGACGTGGCCCAAACTTGTCACAGTGGCCGTGCAGCTGCTGAACAGTGGACATCCTTTGCAGAGAGCAGGCAGACCGAGCGCCGAGTCTCCAGCGCCGACGGCGGCGCGCAAAAAAGAGAGAAAAAGGAAGATCTGTCGGTTTTGGAATCACCTGACCGCAGGGTTGGCGAGGCGAGCCCCATCCGGTGCGGTGTGGGGCCCCAGGCGCCCCCCTTCATTCTCCAGGGCCCAGGGCCCCTCCGGCCGGGCGTTGGTGTCTCATAACGATCTCTCTTCTTCTTTCTTTTCGTCGTAACGGTACAGAAAACGCGCCACCACGCGCTTCAAATTCTTCATTCGAAATTTTGGGCATAGTTTGACATGCCACACACCAAACTAAGGCGGGAGCAGGGTACGTACTGGTGTACTGGTTTCTATGACGCAGGATAATTTTACTGGAAATGAGGGGGGGGGGGAACTGCACATGCCGTTGTCAGTCAGATCTCATTCATTAGAGAGCTCCGCAGGCAACGTTCTTCCACGCCTGTTTTGAGCGGTTTCAGAAGTCACTTTTGCGAGCTCGGAGTCCTTTTTGCATCTCATACCAAGTGCCACGCCGCGCCGCGCTCTTTTGTCGTTATACTGTACCGCATGCACGGGTGCGGGCGGGTTTGCCTGTCCGCGCCGCGGCGTGAATCAGCCACCTGGTACAATGTTTCGGATCTGGAAGCGCCAGGCCAGGCCCTGCCTGATCCTGATGTGAGCCCGACAGGCCCGGGGGCCTGGCACGGCGTCCCGTCCAAGTGCGAGACCTCGAGGAGGGGCGGAGTTCAAGGACCTTTTGGGCAAAGGAAAATAAAATCAAAAGAGATGTAGCAGCGGCAGCGCCGACCGGAGGCGGCGGCGTCCCATCCCGTCCTTTCGCTCCGGGAGCAGCAGGGTGTAGCCCAACCAACTATTCGCAACGCAAATTTGACCTGTTGGGTCCCGTCGTCAAAGAGTGCGGAGGGGAAAGGGGGAAGGGGGTGCTAACTTGGGGCCGACCCGTCGTACTCATGTACAGAACTGGTTGCCTACACACAGGCGCCAGCTGTTCTAGCGATGCAACTTAAGTAATCTGACCATAACTCTCGAGAGCTTCCGAGAGCAAACTCTGGCAAAAGTAGAAGTGTCACTTCCCGATTTTGCCCAAACTCGGCATATTT